ATCTTAATGATCTTACCAACACTAATTTGCTCATGATTTGTTTTTGCTTGTAATTGTGTAGTTATTATTGATTGATTCATCTGAAATATTAATCGGCCTTTGTAATAAAAGTAATTCAGTAAATGCTTTTTTAAATGATGATAACTTGTCAGTTGTGACTTGTGGATATGGAAGTTCCACTGGCGTTGGCCAATTAAGCGCATCAAGTGATTGTTGAAATTTCCTAATCGAATGTCAATTAGAAATTTCCATAAACAATGGGAATTGAAAATATTTAATTGAAATATATTTAAGGTAATTATTAACAAACTTTTTCAATTTATCTTTCATGTCTTCCCAAAGTACATCCACACTTTGTTGCAAAAACACGTCCAAATGAGTGACCACATGGCCAGTATCCTTGCTCTTAGATTTTATGCTATGCAGAAGATTCGCAAGTTGAATATATGGATTAAGGGCTTTATGAGGCGATCTTTCAATTAACTGTTTCGTCTGTGCACTTCAAAAATTAGTAGGTCTTAACAATGAGCTAACTTTTTAGAATTAGTAGGTAGGCAGATAACTAAAAATACCTCAATTCTTCGGCGACAACTAACACTTTGAGATACTGCTTTGATCTTAATAGGCTGTCAATCTGTTGTTGCAGCATGGTTAACTCATCCATTAGTGTCTTATTATTTGAAACGTTTTCTTGTAAATTCGATAGATTGGATGAAGTCACGTTATTACAATAATCAGTTAATACATCTTCAAGTTCTAGACGTGTGGCCTGAAGATCCTCAAGTTCTGTGACTGTAGAGTTGAAGGCTTGAAGAGATTGTTTGAGTATTTCTGAAGTTTTAGACTGTGTTTTAATATACTATAAAGAAAATCCAGATTTCATTAGAATGGCGAAAGTACATGAAAGATTTAGTAAGCACACCTTTTCATTCAATTTCTGTTCATTATTTTTTACTTCGGACAGTACTGTATTCAACTTCCCCAGATCTTCCAGTTCATTAAAGCGAGAATTGAGAAAATCGACGACATGATTCGCGATTGAACTTTCATCGGGTTCCTTAATAAGCGATTCAAGCTCTGATGTTGCCATTTCTATCGTATTACGGGAACGTAGTTAACGTGTATGATTGACGATGTAAATCATTTTTTTTTTCATCATATTTTTACATTGACAAATCAAAACTTGCAAAAAAAAAGTGACGTCATTGTTAGATTCTACTCGAACAATCGTGTTCTGATTGGACGAAATCGACGATCCATAACAACAATATGCCATACCGATACTGTTTTTTACAGGTTTCTGATTGGCTAGAATTGTTTACATGTCATCTTTCTTTTTAAAATGTGACGCCTTGGTTAGGGCCAGTGTTGGTCGATGACATAGGTCATAACATTTTTTCGATATGACCTTGGT